TTCACTCAAAAGCTCCGCTTTTATACACGTCAGAATTTCACCACCGTCAATTTGGGTGGACGGTATAGTTGTAACGAACAGTCATTTTCATCAAATGAGCGAATATCGAATAATTGATTTTTTAAAGTTTTTCGAACAAAAGAACATCAACAAATTGAATTTCGAAATTTTTCTAATGAACGGGTATTATTCGGTTTTCAATTTCGGCACAGTACAGAATTCGAGCTTTCGAATATTCGAATAACCGAACCTGATCGAATTTCCGAGTATTCGCATATACATGAATAACTAAATATCAACGAATACTCGAATGCAATATTCCAATATTCGAATGCAATATTCGGACAACTGTGTTCCAAAATTCTCGAATTTTCAATTATTCGAGTAACTGCTTTTTAAAATTCCTCGAAGACTCGAATATTCGAATAAGTGATTTTTTCGAGTCGTCGGATGAACGAATTATTCGAGTAAAGGCCTTTTTCATTTACTCGATTGTTCGAACAATGGACTAATTGGACTTTTTCGAATACTCGACTATTCTAATATTCGAATAGTCGAATATTTTGAATAGAGTGTTCGAATACGAATATTCGGTTTCAAATATAGTGTTCAGTGAATGCACTAGGATGTCCAATGCTTATACAGCGGAAAATATTTTCCACTACTGTACATAAAAAATCTCTTGCTCTCCAGTCTTTGCTCACTCTTGGCCATTCGCCCTAGGTTCTGGAGCAGCCTTACGCTATGGCTGCCACAGCATGTCAAAGAAGTACAAGACTCTAAAGTTCGCATGTCTGTTAACACACAGTGAATACAAACTCAGATAAGAAATTCTTCTGCTATGAGATGACGAAAACATTACAGAGTTTCATATCGCGCAAACTTTTCAACATCACCAATAAAACCACCTGCAGGGAAGCAGATTTACAAGGAAAAAAAAAAGGCCAGCAGTACTTTCTGTGGAAGCTTCTGAACAATATCAAGTGATTTCAGGACTAAATCGAGCAAAAGCTGCCACTTTGGCTGGTCAACTACATCAGGAAATGATAACTCATCTCATGGTGAGCGAGCACATAAAAAAATCAAAATAAGAAAGAACTAGATTTTTGTGTAAGCTCCTTATTTTTTTACACTATTGAGTATAGTAGTCCGAGGAGATCTTATTGGAAGGGAAATAATGTTTTCAAAAAAAAATCCTATAGATATAAGCATCTCCTCTAAATGCAAGAACAGCAACGTTTTTTTTTCTGATTTTCTTTTCCATTGCCTCCTGGTTTCCAATCATTCGCAGCAGTTTTTCTTCTCGTTTTCAACCGAGGCGTATTGATTTTGAGGTATACAATAGATGTATTGGTGAAAAATTGCTTTGTATAGAGCGGTGCGTTGATTTACTGGCTCGCATGCGCTTCGATGGCGAGCTGCTTTAGGCCTGGGACGGAGTTCACGCGATTTGATCGTTGCGATTCAATCGCTACAAGATAACTGTTACGAGTTCATTGCATGCCGATCAGCTTGCATTTCGGTTGTAATACTTTTCCAGCTCAAAATTTTTGAAAGTAAAATGAAAATGAATGAAAATCGCGGCGATCAAATCGCGACGATCAAATCGCGTGGACTCTGTCCGAGGCCTCACGCTTTGTATTCGATCTACCCAAACTCTTTTCTTACAAATGTAACCATTTTCAAATATTTGCAGATGTCAGCATGTTTTGAATACTTTGTTTTATGTAGACAGTGGACCGTCCCAAAATAAATCTAGGTTGAGCTTGAAGTATTCAAAAAGCAACTTCGCACTTTTCCAAAATTGGGAATTTTTTCGGTCCTTTGACTTAGCATTGAGCTATTGCGACAAGGAAGCAAGCGCGATCGATAAATCGATTTTTTGTTTCATTGCGATGCAATGCGAGCTTTTGCTCTGATTAGTAAGGGTCTTTTGAATTATCGAGATATTTTCCTCACACGATATACTTTGGCAAGAGATGCTATGCGGAGACCCTATAACGCTGGACTAAATTTTCAACTAGTTCCGTCAAAATAATTGTCAGAATGTCCCTGCCCATACTAGTGCATGCATAAGTGAATTCCCATTAGCAGTCACATGCGCATGTGTTCAGGACGAATATGCGCGTTTACGCTTGGTAGCATAAATAGTAACACCCATTCAACTTTGATGTTGGCGTCCATATTATATTAGTGTTTACAGGAAAATTTTATAGTATGGCAATAACCGTTCACTTGTCCTTCTCCGAAAAAAAAAACACCGAATCATGTGCTGGAAATTGCTGAAAAAATGACACTTTTGATGTTTCAGAATTCATTCATTGACTAGGAAAAAACCGTTTTTCTGGGCACAAAGGCTTATTTTTGCATGAGGATACTCGCTCCGCTCGATAATTAACTAAACTGCATAATTTCTCAGCCGTCAATTGACGAGAAGCCGTGCACGCACTTCCCCGCATTCGATAAACGTCTTAATGGATTTGTCAGCTAAGCCAGAGTTCTGCCCCGTTGGCTACTACTTCTAGTCTACAAGTTGACTTACAATAATCGTCTTACAAGGAAACGATACTTGGTGGCCTCGGCCATGTGGAATGCGATGTATACCGTAAGGTGCATCTCGAAACGCTGATTCTAAATCTGTGCTCGAAATCTGCGAAACGATCATTTGAAGGCAGTTATGAACTTTTTTTCCGTAAAAAATTTGCGTACTTTTAGGTAGTTAAAATCACCCAAATTTTATCTATTTTACCGTTTGAGCTATTGACGAGAATCTTGAAAGGTGTAATGTTGCATTTATACCTATCTAAACAATATTCAGCATTTGAAGAGGAAAGAAAAATTTTTATTAATGATTTTCACCCTTCGCCGTATCGCAATTCATTTTTCAAAAAATAATCATAACTCTATCCAGATTCTCGTTTCGCAGATATGAAAAACATTATTCGAACCAGCATTGAAAGGCGCATTTTTTGATATACAAATGGCCGGAGTAACCAAGTATCGTTCCCTACCTAGAATTTTTCTTCTATGGTAGCAAAATTTTATGTATCGAGTGTTCAGTAGTCATTTGCTCTGCACGATTATAGCGAGTTAAAGGCACCGTCCACCCTAAGTTGAGGGTGTTGAGCTTTTGGCAGCATATAGTAGTAGGGCCCCCTTGAATCCAATGCCCAAGTCGCGGCGCAAAATACTGCTTCGGAAGCGAGAGAATCGCTTCAGAATAGCGAAGAGGCACGAAGACCCCCATCCATGCCCGCCCTCCCCCATCCATGCCCGCCCATTTGTGCGCGCCCATTCAATCACGGTTCCGGATATCTGGCCTGTGGGTCCTCCGGAACGGGGATTGTCGGGGTTTTCGCGCATTTTCGACCTCATATTGGGAACCAGGGACATGAGAAGGCCCTAAAACGACAAAAACTTGGAAGTTGAAAATGTGGGTGGACGGTGCCTCTAAGCTTATGCAGCACGCTGATCACAATATCGTGTTTTCGCAAACTGATACCATTCGGTTTTGCGATGGGCATGCGGTAGATGGGTCAAATCTCAAATTTCCTCACAAACTTGCCCTATGGCCCTGGGGGTCGTAATGCCGTGAATATTTGGGGACCACTTCGCGATCGTGATCAGCATGTTGGAGAACTCCTCTGGACAAAATTGGGTGAATTAGGGATTTTGAAACCCATTTACAGTACACCTATTTTATATCAGAAAATGGCGGTGTCATACAATTAGCGAAATCAAGAATTCCGTAACAGCTTGCCAGATAACCTCCCTGTGAATTTCATCGAAATTTGTATTAATCATGAAGTTGTGGGTTCATTATTATAGCGCCGAGAACTTGTTCAAATCAATTTTCACTCATCACCCTTGAGGTTCGAAAAATCAAGAAAAACCAGTATAATTGTTGTTCCGATTTGTTGTTCGTGGTAAGTTCCGATTTTGTGCACAACTTTCTGCCCATTGCTGTCAAAATTTCAGTTCCGTTTTCCCAGAACTCATGGGTTTCGCCCCAAGGAAGTCGTCTAACCAGCGCCTGAGATCGTCTTCAGAATCAAAGCAGACGCTGTTTATGTGAATTGCGATAGATTGAAACCTGTTAGAGCGAGATCTCAGGAGTCACTGGATACTAATGGACCTCTTGGTCAAGTCTTGCAAGACAGCTTTGACGACTTTTGCCGTACGAAGCCATGTTTTGCCAGCAGAAACGCTCATTGGATTTGTTTAATAAGCCCTTTCTGCAGTAGAGATTCGTTTAGATGGTGCAATTGGATTGCTTATTGTAGGAAGACCGTTTTGTTCTTGTCTAGCAATTTTCAGTGCAGAACCTCCTGCCCGTCTCACAAAAATTTTATTTAAGGGACATCCTGCCCGTCCTTTGGGGCAATTCAGTCATTTTTTTTACTCATATTGAGTGCAAATGCCATTTTCCATGAGTAGAAAAACACTTTGCAGAAATGCTTCTTTCTTGTAAGAAAAAATGAGCAGGTGCCGACAACGCTCTTTTTTGCCTCCTGGAAATTCTATCTTTGACGCTGAGAAATTCGAGTAGATCGGCTTTCCATCGAAAATGAGTCATTTCAAAAAGCATAATCGCTCCTTTCCAATTATATGCGCATCTTGCCGCAATTCAACCGCTCCTCAAAAAAAAAAGAAGGACAAGAACGAAACCTCTACAAATTTATAAACGACCTATTAGAACAGCCCAGTGTGCGAAGTCTTTGCAAAAATGCTGTGGACCTCTACTGTGGCATCAAAGCTGAGTATACTCAGACTTGATAGGTAGAGCTTCCCTCCAAGTCTCTATTTTTTCCCACATCATTGTATGCAAATGCCTCTCCAAAAATTAAGCAAATTTGCGGAATTCCCTTGTTTGTAAGATTTCAATCATTTTTTTTTTGCCTGTGCTCGTTTCTTCGCGCCCTAATGACAACACGCTCCGTAATCGCACGCGACGTCATCGCCAAGCGAGACTTTCGAATCGTTTTATTCGCGTTCTCTATCGTGTTTGTAGATTTTTGCGAAATCTTGCTCTTTGAAGTTTTCACATGTTTAGAATGGCTGAAGAAACTCCAAACGTGTTTCTCTTTTATCCTAATCTCATTGGATATGGAAGGATTGTGCTCGCCATTATCTCGTTCCGTGTAATGGGTGATAGTCCAGTCTTGGCTATGCTTTGGTGAGTTTGTCATTTCCTTTCGTCCAGTACTCTCATCATAATTTTCAAGTGCTCTGATCTGTTAGAATCCGTCAAAGATCGATAAATTTTCTCTATTCCTTTGATACTATGCAAAGACTTTCGAAGCGTGATAACTTCTCAGTATTATTGTAAGTACTAGGCTGTTATGACGTAGTTCTATATCGAGAATATTCTGCTCTTTCAAGCATCCTTTAAATCTTCCGGTCTTGTCTGTCCAAAAACATCCAAAATTATTTTTTCTTCTCCCTTGCTTTCTCCATCAGTTTGTTATGCAGAAGGAATCGATATACGCCTTCATTTCGCAACTATTATAAAAGTGCCTTATCGTACTTATAAAATAAATTTCAACAGTATTGGCTGTTGCAGGTATTTTTTACAAAATTAAGATGCGCAGCGTTCGCCATGCTTCCAAGAAATCCAGAGCAAGTTTCCCACCATCTCTGCAGGCTTACAAATTATCTAGAGCTGCGCTGATTGCTAGAAAATTTCCCAACGCACCTTTCATTAATCACTGAGAATAGGTCACTCATTCATGTCATACTGGATCTTATTCAAATCTTTACAAATTCTTGGGAGGGCTGATAGGGGTGCAGTGGAATGAAAATCAACTTCCAATTTTGAGTTATGCTGTGAGTGCGGGTTTGGACGCAATTGATGGGATGGTCGCTCGAAAGTATAACCAGAGCAGCCGTTTTGGAGCCATGCTGGATCAGCTCACAGACCGCTGTGGCACTATGGCTTTGTGTATGACATTGTGCAGGTTCTATCCGGCTTGGATGTTCTGGATTCAGGTAGTCATTCAGAATTTGCCGATTACGTGAGTATCTCTCATCTTTTCTATTAGCTGAGCACCGTGATTGACATTGCTTCACATTGGCTCCATCTTCATGCAACTGATCTCACTCGTGCTGAAACACACAAGAAGAGCGACAATCCAATCTTGCATTTGTATTACACGAATCGCATGTTCCTTGGATTCATGTGCGCAGGAAATGAGGCATTCTATCTGATTTTGTATGTACGCGCTTTCCATCCTGGTCCATCCATTTTTGGTGTTTATCTGCTCTCATATCTGGCTGCTATTGCATTTCCAATAGCGCTTGTCAAGTCGCTTATCAGTCTTGTTCACCTAGTGACTGCTTCTCAGACAGTGGTAAAATATGATACAGATTTGATCCTTAGCAGACGTCAACAGTCTTCAAAAACAGAATGATCACCACTATATCAGCTTGAACTCTGTTAGCATATTTTTGCCCCAAAAACTGTTTTGCAGCTTTAGACTCCATTTGATCTGCTACTGAAATTTATCTCTACCCTCAATTCCAAAGATGATTGCCATTTTGAAAGTTTGATTTATGTCCTGATGATAATTTTAGTTAGTTAAAATACTCCAGTTCTTCATATTTAGCTCCATCTTCGTTGTTATGATACTAATCATTTTTGAAATACTATGTACTTAAACACTTATTTATTACCCGTGAAGTTTGATAATCTGTGATAGTGGTTGTGCATATGATGGTGTTCCAAAAATTCTAGTAAATATTATTTGAGACTTTCTGCTGTTCTGCTGATTATTCGTCACCTTGCGTGCGTTATCTGGTTACCATTGTTTCTGCTATTTGTTTTCCAATGCATTCCTTTCCAGAGGTACTTAAACTTTGTATTATCTATCCAGAACTCCTCTTGAAAGATGGCTGATGAACTAGCACGCGTACAGCAATATGAATACCGTCAGGTTTGTGTTCACTTCATAATCTTTTTTCTAATTCTTCCTTTTTTGCATAAATTTTGTACTAAATGTCTTGTGCTTAGAATTCCAACTTGGTATTACAAGTCGACTACAACCTCACCGACCGTCGTGGTCGGGAGGAACCTACCGGTGAAGTACTGCCACTCTCCGATCGAGTTCTGAAAGGAATGAAAATGGGTGACAAGTACATGCGCACAAAAGCCCCGATTCAAGAGCAAAAGAAGAAAAGGTTTGTTGCTAGCTAAAATTCTTTTTTTACCCTGGTTCCTTACCTTTTCTTTGGCGTTTTCTAGAAAGAGGAAGGCAGATGAAGAAGATTTTCGCATCATGTCTAAATCTGTCATTGGTGACAATACTGAGCTTATGGGTAGCTATAAACCACGTACACAGGAGACAAAGCAGACTTATGAAGTCATCTTAGCGTTTATACAAGAGGCTATTGGTGACCAGGTAAGCTTTGAAGCTAGTCAGCTAGTAAGTCCTTACATTGAATCATTTTTCCAGCCCCGAGACATTCTCTGTGGTGCTGCAGATGAAGTTCTAGCAGTTTTGAAGTCAGAGAAAATTCGCGAGAAGGAGAAGAAAAAGGAGGTTTGTAGCAATAACAGCTCAAATTCGACATGAGGATTAAATAAATTATTCAGGTTGAACTTCTTCTTGGATCGTTAACGGATGAGCGAACTGCTGTCCTTATCAACTTAGCCAGAAAAATCACAGACTTCTCCATGGAAGATGAGCACAAAATGGAGACGGTACACTTTCAGCCCTTCAGTTTTCATACTGAACGTGATCATCTCAATTGCAGGATGAATTGGATGAAAACGAAGGCGTCAACGTGCATTTCGACGAGTCAGACGAAGAACAAGACGCTGTCATAGACGAAATCAAAAGTGAGTTTCAATTTTTGAATTCTCGTTCTTAGCATGTTGTCGTTGCGTTACGCGTATCATGGTTTGAAGACTTCCAACCAACGTAAATTTGTCATTCTCCCCTTTTTTCAAAGCTTGTTGAATTTAATAGGTCACAGTATTTCTGGAACTTGTGACTGACAGGTTTGATGGAAATCATGATTTTAGATGTCGACGAAAGCTCCAGTGATGACGAAGGTGGAGAGGAAGCTGAACATAATGAGACGCTGCGCGGTGGTGCCTTTGAAGATGTGAGATCTCTTTTTCAGCTAGTTTCTCTGTTTATGAATGCTTATGATTACTTTAGGAAGAAGAAGCGGCGAAAAAAGATGCGCTTCATCCTCGTGATATAGATGCTCATTGGATTCAGCGATCTCTCGCAAAATTCTTCAATGATCCAATCGTAGCGCAACAAAAAGTGACGGAAGTTCTTAGCATCTTGAAGGTGAGGGTCGCTGTATTTGCACAATTTCTCTTTCTTCTCTATGGATTCTGCACAGCTTGGTTATCTACTGCTGTGTTCCAGGATTCCGCCGACGATCGTGAATGTGAAAATAAGCTTGTTCTTCTATTGGGATTTGATCATTTCGACTTCATCCGCATTCTTCGTCAACATCGAAACATGGTTCTATACTGCACATTGCTGAAGCAAGCACAAGACGAAGAGAAAGTCAAGGTAGGTTGCAGTTGAATTTTGCATACTGTTGGCTGAGATCTCGATGTACAGATAGAAGAGGAAATGAAGTCGCGTCCCGAACTGCATCACATCCTTGCCCAACTCCTCGAGACCGATGAGACTGACATTGTTGAGGTAATCCGAAAGTGTGAGAATCCAATAGGCTTTAGACTTAACTCCATAATTAAGACGGAACGTGCTAAGCGAGAAAAGACAGCACAGAGGCGAGCTATCGCTGCTGCAGGCGAAGAAGCAGTAGCCGCTGGACAATGGCTAGCTGGCAGAAAAGTGCTTGATTTAGAAGACTTGGCATTCTCTCAAGGAAGTCATTTGATGAGCAACAAGAGGTTAGTGATCCTCGTGCTATATAAATTTTCATACATTGTGTCAGCATGAGATTAGGGGTAGAAAATTGTCTTATTCATTGCGGTGCTTTGCAGATGCGAACTGCCGGACGGTTCATACAGAAAGCAGAAGAAAAGTTACGAAGAAATCCATGTTCCAGCTCTCAAGCCAAGACCGTTCGCTGAGGGCGAGGTAAACATTTTATCACTTGTCTTACATCTCTTTTGGATAAAAGATGTTTAGAAGCTCATTGACATCGGTGAACTTCCAAAATGGGCTCAGCCAGCATTTGACGGATTCAAATCACTGAACAGAATCCAATCTCGCCTTTGCGAAAGCGCTCTGAACAGCGATGAACACCTCTTACTTTGTGCACCTACTGTGAGTTATCTGCTGCATTCCTGTATTTCTACTTGTTTGAATATTTTATCGTTATTATGAACAATTTAGGGTGCCGGTAAGACCAATGTCGCTTTGCTTACGATTCTACATGAGATTGGAAAGCATCTCAATGAAGACGGCAGCGTAAAGATTGATGAATTCAAGTGCATCTATATAGCGCCAATGAAATCTCTTGTACAAGAAATGGTCGGTAACTTCACGAAGAGACTGGCACCATTTGGAATCGCCGTAAGTTCCTCATCGTTTTGAACATGAGCAGGTCTATCAGTCTGGTTGCAGGTTGGTGAAATGACTGGTGATGCACAAATGAGCAAAGAACAATTCATGGCGACGCAAGTGATTGTATGTACCCCTGAAAAGTACGACATCGTTTCCAGAAAAGGTGGGCGATTTCATGTGAATATATCTTGTCTCATCATTTTTTTTGTAGGTGGAGAGAGGGCTTACAGTCAGCTTGTGCGACTTGTAATAATTGACGAAATTCACTTGCTTCATGATGATCGTGGACCTGTTCTCGAAGCCATTGTTGTCAGGTACAAAATATCCGCATCTAGCCCACAGTCCAGAGCAGATTTGGTGCTGTTTTCTGCTCACACTTCTATGATTTTCAGAACCCTGCGACAAGTCGAGCAAACTCATGATGACTGTCGCCTTGTCGGCCTGTCTGCTACGCTTCCCAACTACCAGGATGTTGCCACCTTCCTGCGTGTGAAGCCTGATCACCTCTTTTACTTCGACAACAGCTACCGTCCCGTACCATTGGAGCAACAGTACATTGGTGAGTATCTGCGCTGTTTAGGTTTATGCTTGCATGATTAGACATTTGTAGGTGTCACTGAAAAGAAGGCTCTGAAACGGTTCCAAGCAATGAACGAGGTGGTCTACGATAAGATCATGGAGCACGCTGGTAAAAGTCAGGTACGAGTAAATGATCTGATCTGAAAGAACTTCTGAATTCAAAGTACTTCAGGTGCTTATTTTTGTTCACTCCCGAAAAGAGACAGCCAAGACTGCCAAAGCAATCCGTGATGCCTGCTTAGAGAAGGACACTCTGAGTGCCTTTATGAGGGAGGGAAGCGCGAGCACTGAAATTCTAAGAACTGAAGCTGAGCAGGTAAGTAGGTTTTGTTTCTGTCAGCGGTTCGCTATCTTCTAAATATGTTTGCAGGTCAAAAACTTTGATCTGAAAGATTTGCTTCCATATGGTTTTGCCATCCATCATGCTGGAATGAACAGGCTTGATCGTACACTTGTGGAAGACTTGTTCGCGGATAAGCACATCCAGGTGTGGTGGTTGTACATCTTTTAATAAGAACCGTGAATGCTCAGCTGTTGTAATGTGTCATAGTTTTTCTCTTTGCAGTGGTAATAATATGCCTTTTTTACAGGTTCTTTTCTCCACTGCTACCCTGGCATGGGGTGTGAACTTGCCAGCTCATACTGTCATAATCAAAGGCACCCAAATCTATAACCCAGAAAAGGGTAGATGGACCGAGCTTGGTGCTCTTGACGTCATGCAGGTAAGGCGCAAAAATCTGAAATATTGACCTGATATCTCTTCCTTCTAGATGCTTGGTCGAGCTGGTCGTCCACAGTATGATTCTAAGGGTAAAGGAATCTTGATCACTAACCATTCCGAGCTGCAGTTTTATCTCTCACTGATGAATCAGCAGGTTTGTGCACATCACCTTTAATCAAATCCTGACCACCCAAGACCTCTGTCCTATGTCCTTCTTGCAGCTACCCGTCGAAAGCCAAATGATATCTCGTCTTCCTGATATGCTCAATGCCGAAGTAGTGTTGGGTACGATCAGTAGTGTAAGCGACGCAATGTCTTGGCTCGGTTACACATATCTCTACATCCGTATGCTGAAATCACCAACTTTATACGGAATACCAATCGATCAAGCGGTAAGTTCTATGCTTTTGCTTACTCATGTGCTGTATATGGTTGATCGACATGCGCATGCAGTGACTTACTTCCAGAAAGCCGATCCCCTTCTCGAACAGCGACGAGCCGATCTAATTCACACAGCGTGTCTGCAGCTGGATAAGGGCAATCTTGTAAAATACGACAAAAAGAGCGGGCTCATCCAGGTTAGAATTGATTGTAGAGGTTTTGCCTTTCCGCGATCTTTCTTCTCTGACGGAGCCGGGGAGCACTCTTGCGTTGAAACTTTTGCATAATTCAGCCGCCTTTTTACTGTAAAGACTACATCTTCTTCAGGCAACAGAACTGGGACGCATTGCCTCCCATTACTACTGCACGTTCGAGTCTATGCAAGTATATAATCAACTACTGAAGCCGACTGCTACAGAAATTGACTTGTTCCGCATCTTCTCTTTGTCGAGTGAATTCAAAAACATCGCTGTAAGTCCTACTCGCTGATTTCTTTATCACATGGATTGGGCATGTACCATATTTGATCTGCCATTTAGGTGCGTGAAGAGGAAAAACTTGAGTTGCAAAAGCTTGCTGAGCATGTTCCAATCCCCATCAAGGAAAGTTTGGATGAAAGCAGTGCAAAGACAAATGTGTTGCTGCAGGTAAATATCGTCCATAGGCATAGATATGGAGGAAGAAACACAGATTGATCTAACGAGCCGTATAGGAATATCATCATCTTACGTTTTAGGCTTACATCTCCCAGCTGAAACTTGATGGATTTGCGCTGCAATCCGACATGGTCTTCATTGCCCAGTCAGCTGGACGTCTTTTCCGTGCCCTCTATGAGATTGTTTTGTGGCGAGGATGGGCTGCTTTAGCACTGGTACATAAGCTCATTCCGCTCTATGGTTAAAACATTACTCATTTACTTATGTTCAGAAGGTACTAAGCTTGTGCAAAATGGTTACCGCTCGTCAATGGCAATCTCTCAATCCTCTGCATCAGTTCAAGAAAATCCCAACGGAGGTAAGTGTACATCCATACTGTTGCATTCACCTGACCGATGTGAGTTTTAGATTGTGCGAAGCATTGATAAGAGGAACTATTCCTTTGAACGATTATATGATCTGGATCAGCACCAACTTGGGGAACTCATACGAATGCCGAAAATGGGCAAACCTTTGTACAAGTTTATTAGACAGGTAAAAATTGATTCGTTGTTGCTAGTACATACCTATTCATTTCGTTTATTAAGTTTCCAAAGCTGGAGATGACAACACTCATCCAACCGATAACCAGAACCACTCTTCGCATTGAGCTAACCATCACGCCGGACTTCCAGTGGGATGAGAAGTTAGTTTCTTTCTCTAGGAAGTTGATTTAGCGTATAGCAGCTTAACGGTTAAGGGTTCATGGCAGCGCTGAAGGTTTCTGGATTTTCGTCGAGGATGTAGATGGCGAGCTTATCCTCCATCACGAGTTCTTCCTTTTGAAGCAGTAAGTTTTGGGTGATACACGGATTGTTTTAAACAGTGTCCGTTTTTTTTACTGAGGCCAGAAAGAACACTTTTTTCTTGGCTGGGTCTGATTCAAGTCATTTCCAGGAAGTTCTGCACCGAAGAGCATGTTGTAAAAATGTTTGTTCCCGTGTTCGACCCTCTTCCACCGCTCTATTTTGTCCGTGTCGTTTCGGACAGATGGCTAGGCTCAGAAACGGTGAGACTTTTCTTTCATTTTCGATTTTCATGGAAAATTCTCTTATTAAGGTGCTTCCTATCTCTTTCCGTCACCTTGTCCTGCCAGAAAAGTACCCACCACCTACCGAACTTCTCGATTTGCAACCTTTGCCCATATCTGCGCTCAACAATAAGCAATTTGAGGCGGTGTTTCAGGCAAAGGAAATTAAAATATTCAATCCGATACAGACACAAGGTTTGTTGAGGTGCAAACGGATTTTGGATGGAGTTCGTTGTTTTTAGTTTTCCGAACTGTCTATGAAAGCAACGATAACGTACTTATCGCTGCTCCAAATGGTTCTGGAAAGACTGCATGTGCCGAATTGGCTATCCTTCGTCACTTTGATAATAGCCCAGAGGCAAAATGTGTTTATGTGACTCCTATGGAGGATATGGCGTTAAAGGTTTGTACTTCCATACGTTTGTTCGCATACTGTTGCTTATTTGTTTTTGTTCACAGGTCTACAATGACTGGCAAGACCGCCTAGGAAGTGCATTAGACCGCACCGTGGTGCTCTTGACTGGAGAACCATCTACGGATCTCAAGCTGCTACAACGTGGAAAACTGATCATTGCAACCCCTGAAAGGTATTCGCACTTTGTCTTTGGTGATTTTTACGTCTTCTTATATGGTTGTATAGATGGGACAATGTTTCGCGGCGATGGAAGCAGCGAAAGAATGTGCAGGCTGTCAAGCTCTTCGTTGTGGATGACTTGCATATGATTGGAGGAACCATAGGGGTAAGTATCTCCATTATTATTCTCATGGAGACATCTTATATCTCGTTCGTTGAGTTCATGCCTTTTTGAAGTTGAGGAGCTTCATTCCACAATTTTTCAGCCTGTCCTCGAAGTAATTTGTTCGCGTATGCGGTACATGTCGGCTCAGCTTGATACCACAGTGCGCATTGTCGGCTTATCGTCTTCACTGACCAATGCTCGCGACATCGGAGCTTGGCTTGGTTGCTCGGCAGCTGCAACGTTCAACTTCCTTCCGAATACTCGGCCAGTACCTTTGGAGCTTTATATCCAGGTTAGTCTCCTTAAACTGAATTCTTTTTGCTTCAAAAGTTCATTATTTTCTTGAGCTAGGAGGTAAATCATCAATTACATATTATCATCATCAAAAATAAAAAATTACATGTTTAGGGCTTCAATCTTTCTCATACCGCATCTCGTCTTGCTGCTATGGTCCGACCTGTTTATCAGGCTATCAGTCGTCATGCTGGGAAACTCAATCCCAAACCAGCTCTTGTATGCTGATTTTCTTCAACTTTGTGAAAGTTTTGTGTTCGCAACCGAGTACTTTTTAGGTATTTGTTCCTGGTCGCCGACAGTCGCGATCTACCGCTATCGACATGTTAACCATGGCACATGCAGATGGAGCTCCGCAACGTTTCCTGCACATCAGCGAAACAGACGAGACTTTTGTCAAGCTGTTGAATTCGCTTCAGGTGAGCTGCATCGCAGGTATATCTCTTCATCCTCTGCTCAATCACCTGTTTGCAGGATCAAACGCTGAAAGAGACGCTTCTTTGCGGTGTCGGCTTCCTCCATGAGGGTACTCATGCCAAAGACTTCCAGATTGTTGAACGATTGTTTATTAGTGGAGCGATCCAGGTGACTAATTTAAATCTTTCAAACATCTTCGATCTTACATATTTCATTGAAGGTTTGCATTGTACCACGTACGATGTGCTATCAAATCACCATGGCAGCATACCTCGTGGTAATCATGGACACCCAGTTCTACAACGGAAAGTACCATGTCTATGAGGATTACCCTATTGGTGACGTTCTGCACATGGTTGGACTTGCGAATAGACCAGGAAGGGATCCTGACGGTGAGTTAGAGTGTTACCTCATCTAACAAGGGAAGGATGGTTGGTCGAAGTGGCCTTTTGAGATGAAATGCATACCATTGTGGAGGGCATGAAACGCTGATTCCAAATCTGTCTTCCTTATCTGCCGCGCGTTCCTGAAGGATAGTTATGAGCGTTTGAGGGAGCAAAAAATGAGTGTTTTTCTGGGATAAAAACCTTGGCTAAATTTTTCCCAGCGCTTAAATGAGACAGCCGGAGTGTGGATATATCTCACCTTAGAGTACTTATTTTATAGAGTGTTGGAAAGATTACCATAGGTCCCTTAAAGCGCTAGGAATAACGTTACTACTGTTTTTATATTATTTGCATATTCAATTTTTTTCTCCAATAAACGCTCATAACCTCTTGTGCACGAACGCGCCGCAGATAAGGAAGACAGATGTGGAATCAGCGTTTTATGCCCTACATAACGATGTACAAGTCATCGCAAAAGGTCATAAGAGTAACACATGGACTGGGATTAGATCTAAACATGGTTTCTTTCACTTGAAAGACTTGCCGAACCGACTTGTTACGTCTATCAAAATGCCTGCCTTGAGTTCATAGCTGATCTATTTCTGTACCAGCCGAATCATCACGGTTTTCTTCCCGAAATATCGGTCTTCTCTGAGCCAATCAACTATCCTCGATCAATAATCAATTAACCATAATTAATTGCCTCAATTATGCTGTTTAGCTTTCAAAAACGTCAATCATCATCCCCAGGGAATTATATTTTGCAATGACAGAACTTGACCTCGCTAAGCCTTGACATGCATTTTCGTTTCTGAAAAATATCTGGTTTTCATTCCCAAAGTCACCACATGAACATTTCTGTGACTTCTCTCTCACTCACAAATGTAACGACTATCTATGATCAAAATCATGGAAGTGTCGCATCGAACCTAGTTTAGGCGGCGCCGAGGCTGATCTGGTGTTGAGAATTTCTTTTTCTAAGATGATTTTTTGCGTCCCTGATATTTTCATGGTCCATAAGCATTTGCTCGCTTTTTGTATCTCTGACGGTCCCAGCAGAGCAAACGAAGGGCTTAGATTAGCAAGTCTCTTTCGTTTGGTGAGGCAATTCTGTAGATTTTGAAGCAATAGAGAAGACTTATTCCTCAAGATGGGAAATCCTGTACTATGGAATTCTCTAGCATAGAATGATGTTTTTAGCCCAACTAATGATCAGCCTTTCTAGCTTGTGAAGATCACAAAAAATTCTTGTGTTTTTGAATAGTGAGCTTTTACTGGGCGATGGATATCGGTTCCGAGTAAATAGTGCAAGTGCAATAGCATCTTTCCCAACATCGGCTAGTTTTTTTCCACTAGACAAAAGTACTACCTCCGTCCGGTTTTTCTTGCTCATATTTGCCATCTCGTTAATCTGCAACTTCCAACGTAAAGAAATCGCAGTTCAATAACGGTTCTTGCTCATTGCAGAAAGTATGCGCTGTTTTCGCCCTTCAAGCGGTTAGACTTCCCCAGCTACCTTGTGACGCTACCCTTTCGCTTTTTTCGGAGATAAATTTGTGAATAATTCAGCAGCGACATTTTTTTCATTTTACGGTTGCTGAGCTTTGCCCGTCAAGCATCTTGCCCCCAAGGCCATGCTATAATCATTGCATTCGTCCTCATTGTCCTCTAGCAATGGGAACAGGTTCCTAGCTGAACACATGTAACACTTGAAGCGTTCCACAAATGGTTTCGAGTGATCTAGTTCTTGTTCTTCCTATTGTCCTTTTTTCCTCTTGCCCCTCTTGGGGAAATTATTCTACGCTTGTAGTGGGGAAAGAACTTGTTGTAGCAAGAAAGTTAGGTTGAGATCGTTGGAAGAGATGATTGTTGTTGGTTGTGGAGGAAAGTCAAAAAAATCATGACAGAGGTGAATGAGCATAGAAAGTGTTGGTAAACATTCGATACCTCCAAGGATCCTTGCCATTTAATGAAAACGTAGTTTGGTGTGGCAAAAAAAATTTGAGATGAAGATACTGTAGACCACCAGTACATTAGATTCCTTGGAGCAAAATTACCGTTTTTTGTTAGCCTTGAGTTAGATCTCGCTAAATTTTTGTTTCGCTGGTTTTGAAAGTTTCTACTGAAGCGAATTATAGGTGGGAGGAGATCCAGCTTGAGAAGGCGCTTACCTTTCAAAATTGCAATGCTGATTGGTATGTGTGGGGGGTAAAAAGGGGTGAGTAGAAGCGTTTCAACGTGTGTAATCGATCGTCCACGTCATAGCTTCCGCTTCCGGTTATTTGCTTCCTACACACAATTTTTAACCTGGTTAGTGGCGCGAACAGGCTATCTTCGTTTTAGCGGTTCTTTTTCGTTCACTATGGAACTGCTACACACTAACACACAGCCAGCTGCTATGCTGCAAGTTTGAGAGCTGATGTATTACCTCGTAAATAAAAACTGTGAAAATAAGCGATGTTGCGGGCTTTAAAGAATTTGTGCTTGGCATCACGAACTTCTTGAACTCAATCCCTTTTTAAAGCACATTGGCCCATGATATCTCGTAGTTTTTTTCGGTAATCAATATACAAAGGAAAATATGCTTGTTTTCAGCGAAATGTGTTCTGATGTGTCAATCTTCGAAGAAAGATTTCTTCAAAAAGTTCCTGTACGAGCCTCTGCCTGTCGAATCTCATCTTGACCATTGCCTCCACGACCATTTCAATGCTGAGATTGTAACAAAGACTATCGAGAACAAACAAGATGCCATCGATGTACGTCTATTATTGATTTCTAATGGATGTACGGCTCATCTAGTGAAAAAGTCACATGCTAGCATGGGAACGACCAGACCTAAATCTGAACTTGAATGAACTTGAGTCTAAGATTCAAATCGATCGAAATGTGCACGCGTGGCCTAATGGAGAAGGCGCCGGACTCCGGATCCGGAAATGGGGGTTCGAGTCCCTCCGCGTGTTATACGTTTGCAATTGGTGAATGATACAGATAAGCTAAGATGATTTTGTTTTTAGTACCTGACGTGGACGTTCCTGTACCGTCGTATGACTCAAAATCCGAATTACTACAATTTGCAAGAGATTTCACATCGTCATCTTTCCGATGCACTTTCGGAGCTTGTAGAGAATACATTGAAGGATTTAGAGAATAGCAAAGTTTGTTTTTTCTTTTTTTCTGATTTAATGAAAGGGCAAAGCCAATATTTTAGTGCATTGCCATCAAAGACGATATGGATACAATGCCTTTGAATCTGGGAATGATTGCAGCTTACTATTACATCTCTTACACCACTATAGGTTTGCAAAGTTTTTTAGGGCTCCTGAAAGAATCTTATAACTATCATTTCACTTCAGAATTGTTCTCAATGTCGCTCCAAGCAAAGACCAAGCTAAGAGCTTTGATTGAGATCATTGCCAATGCTAGTGAATTTGCCTCGATACCCATGCGACATCGTGAAGATATGATACTCAAACAACTTGCTGCTCGTCTCCCAGGGCAATTGAAGAACCAGAAGTTCTCTGATCCTCATGTAAAGGTCAGCTTTGCTTTCTTTCGTGTAGCGGTGCATTGAAGCGAGAAAACTGACATGAATCCTTCTGCATAGTCAAATATAGAAAAGGCTCGCTGAAATTTGGCCAAGTTTGATCTGACTCATCCAAATTTGGACTAAAAAGTCATACAAATACATACCTAATGGCAATAAAAATTCTGACCATAGAAGCAAAAAGTCTTTGAGGATGAACGTTTTGCCAAATATGGACTTTTTGGTATCAGAAATGATCTAAAGTGTTTTTTTAGGGCAGTGGAATTAGAAGTATCCATCAGAGCGGGATGTTCAAATCAAAATTTGATTTATTATAAAATAATTAGTGTGGTAACAAATATCTGAAGAGCTTCGTTATTCACTTGGCTACAGCTCTATGACTTTTAGTGTCACCTCTGCTTTCCTCACACAATCCCCCCCCTTCCGCATTTTTTTGGCTTGAACGCCGTTAAAAAATGTTGAACTTCTGAGGTAAGGTGATGAAAATGTCATTTTCAGGTCAACTTGTTGATACATGCGCACCTCTCTCGTATTCAGTTATCAGCAGAGCTTAGTAAAGATACCGATATGGTAGTATTGAAAGCTATCCGCCTTGTGCAAGCTTGTGTGGATGTTTTGTCCAGGTTCGTTTTTACTACTTATTGGTGTCTATGTAGATTCAACCAAATATATCCTTAGTAATGGATGGTTGTCGCCAGCTATACATGCCATGGAGCTGTCACAAATGCTAACCCAGGCGATGTACAGCAATGAGTCGTACTTGAAACAGCTACCACATTGTAACGCAGGACTTTTGGAAAGAGCAAAACAGAAGGTTTGTGCTCGTTTCAAGATTTGTAGTCAGTTTTTGACTTCACAGTGATCATCGTACCTTTTTTAGAAAGTGGAATCTGTTTTCGAGCTTCTCGAGCTGGATGACGACGTGAGGCGTGATATTTTGCGAATGGAAGATGTACAACTTGCTGATGTTGCGAAGTTCTGTAACAATTATCCCTCAATCGAAGTTGAGCATGAATTGGAGAACGATTCCGTTAACGTGTACGTTTTGATGATTGCTATCATTTTTTTAATCAGTCCTTTGTGACTGATAGTTGGAACCACTATTTGCAGTGGCGATACTTTGTTAGTAAATGTTACTATGGAACGAGAAAATCACGTCAACGGTTTGGCTCCACCAGTAGTAGCGCCGTTGTTCCCGCAAAAAAGGAAAGAAGAAGGATGGTGGCTTGTTGTTGGCGATCCGGCTGCAAATGCTTTGTATTCGATCAAGAGGTTCGCTTTTTTCGGAAGAGAATTCGGTTTTGAAGGGTCTTTCCTACATTTGCTTTTTTTTCTAGATTGACTATCAATGAAAAAGCAAAAATGCAATTGGATTTCGTAGCGCAATCTGCTGGTCGGTTCGAGTATAAGTTATATTTCATATGTGATTCCTACTTGGGAGCAGATCAAGAATTTGACTTCTCTGTCAAAGTTGAAGGTAAGGAAGCCCTCTGATCTTCCTGTTTTTTGGCAATTCTCTTGATTGTTTCTGTATTCTTTATTTTTGATAAACCTACTTATTTTAGATCACAGCAGAAGCAGAAAACGACGGAGGGATGATGACTAAGATCTCAACGGTTTTTCTTCCGTTACCTCATTCCTTTTATGTGGGAATGTTTGTTCACTGTGTACAGGTTGTTCTAAATCGGGCTCTATCCCCTATACTTTTCATCTGTTGTTGAGTGGTTGTATGTCATACCTTTATTGAGTAGTTGTATTTCTAAGTAAACCATTATAGAGATTTTTTTTGGTATTCTGCCACCCAATGTCAACAAAGTGTCAATTAACATATGCGCCATAGGTTGACAGGGAAAGTAAGCTCACGTCCTATAAAACTGCGCAAAACTGGCTGGCTCTCTTTTTCTCAAAGTTTATACTTTAAGAAAAAGCGAGCGAAGTGGTGCGGATTCGTAAAAATAGAGGGAAGTGAGTTTCAAAGGCTAGCGCTGCGGCAGGTTTGATCGACGTACTATTTTTTGATGTAAAAATATGGATATTTTGAACTTACAACTTAAAAAAGTGGATGGAGTAGTCTTGTTTATGCACGCGTATCTAGAGACTCAAGGAAGGACATCATGGAGAATACTCTGGATGGGGTAGGGTAGAGATGGCTAGAACATGCAGCGGCTGCAAGAAGTCATGCGCAAATGGGCACGGCCGCGCGGGCAACTTACACAGGCTATAATTTACGAAAATACATGATTTGTGACAGATGCCTACGCAGACGAATTTTATCGCGCAACGTACACTCTGCAGATGCAGTGACAGCAGTGATTATTTTAGTACGTATCACAACTTCTTCTCTCTTCACTGGGAAAGATTTATCTTCAGAAAAACCAAATAATTAATAATTTCTACAGGAAATGCCTTACAATGAGCATTAGTTGGATTCAAGACAAAATAATGTTTTTCAGCAAGCGACATGAATATGACCGTAGTACAACCACATACAACGGCAAGGAAAGTAGTAAACAAAGCGCAAAATCACTTACTACATACAACAACATCATAAATCTGTGTAGGGCTCGCGAAAAGTATTGTGCGCGTGTTTGCCACAAAATGCAATGAAAATAGCACGCCCTAACAACGAGTGTGTTGGACTCTCTGAACCGTTTTGAGAAAAGCGACAATAACGATTTGATAAGATACCGGAAGCAAAGGAAAAAATAAGGAGCACATGCATCAAGGTCAAACACTCCAGTATGCACAGGTACACCTGTACGATTAATGATATAGACGTGCAGAAAAACAATCGGATTCACCAGCAGCAGCAAACGTGCAAAGATATCAAAATACATTATAAATCCAGCAAAATTATGCGCAAGTAAACGTAAGTAGTGGAATGCGATACACAGCTGTTACATAACGAAAGAACGAGAGTTGATATAGCAGTAGTACAGAGCGCGGGTGGATAGAGCGGACAAAATAGGATATAACGAGAGATAACATCAAAAACAGAAAGCACACATCCTACCCGCTTTATTTATGACTGAGTTTTTCCTTCTCCTTGAGCTCCTTCACTGCTTTGATGTATGGTATAAGGCTGCTAAGCGGTTTTGCCCTAGCTAGGAACGGATGTTGTAAAAGCTCCTCAGCATCCGCCCTAGAAATACATGTTTCGTAGACATCCACAAAAGGCCTTGAAGGCATGACCCACCCAAATGAGTTTGGTGAGATTGTACGTTGTATAATAGCGGGTCTCTAACTAACAATATGTATTCGCCCAAGTCCCGTCACTAAAAATGAATTCCGAAGCGAGAAAAACGCTTCTGAGGGTAGAAGTGCTCGAGGTGGCTCCGCCCATCAACGAGGGTGGTCTGAGAAAAAAGTCCAAACTCGGATTTGAATGTGTCTAGAGTTGTCATAAATCTGCGCTTCATTATAGCTATCAAATTCTTGACATTTCTATCCACCCTGAAGCCCGCCTTCGAGCTCATCTTCAGACACGTTGATGGGCCACGGCCACCTCTACTTTCTAAAGCGATTTTTCTCTTCGAAATTCATCTTTTGCAGCGGGAGTGGGCGATTACCTAATCAGAGGCCCAGCTATTTTACAGCATCAACACCAGAATTCTGAATTTGGGAGGATAGGCCTCTTAGCTACCTACCTGTCCTCAGGATCCACAACGAGACATCGATCCAAGAAGTTGAGGAAATCCGGAGACAATTGATCTCTTCGCTTTATTTCTGGCTTTCCATTTTGGGCAATCAAGTATATGGCCTGAATCAAAAAGATGAGATAAAACTAGATGAAAAGGAAAGCCAAAAATGACCAACCTTCAATGGTGTCTCATGCAGATAAGGAGGCTCTCCATCGATCATTTCTAGTGCCATTATGCCAAGCGACCATATATCCACCTTGTAATTGTACCGCTTCTTATTTAGTATCTCAGGTGACATCCAATACGGTGTTCCTACTACAGTGTCCCTGCAATGACACCAATGGAAAAGGATAATTGAGAACATTCAAAAGTGCAAATGAAATTTAGGGCATAGATGGAAAGCAGTGATTGAGATAGAAATGAAGTAAGAAGATGAGAATGTGAATGCGAACAGATTAGTAAGCGACCGGCTGTCAATTTCTAGGAAATGATTTTATCGGGGCAAAACATACACGCTGTTTTCTTTTCTCAGACTAGTTCAGAAAAACAAACGAAACTTATCAGGGGATATAAAGGAGCTTACAATTTCCTAGAAATTGACAGCCGGTCGCTTACTAATCTGTTCGCATTCACATTCTCATCTTCTTACTTCGTTTCTTTTGGAAGCAGTGAAATATTTATATCGCATTTTTTTACAACCAGGTAAGCCGATGACAGTTGTAGATGAATATGAATGTAAATCAGGTATTCGTAAACGAGTATGAGTATGAGTAAAAATAATCTACCTCTTCGAACCCGGCTGAATCTGAGCACAGAATCCCATATCGGTTAACTTCACTTGTCCATCCATTCCTAGTAACACATTGTCGCTTTTAATATCACGATGTACGATTGAATGACTGCAAGAATACATTTCAGATTTGCAGAAATAGCCTTGTAAAATGCCGAATGATGCTGGCTAGTCCATTTTTTCTCGAAGTAGGTGAGTAAAATTCGTATTTAATGATTTACCACCAATATTTTCTATGAACCAGAAAAGCGCGCTCAAAATCTTTCTCTTCCAGTCTCCCAACAACATGAAAGCAGTATTCGAAACCCTCTTCGCAGCCTGTGTGTGCTCAAAAAACATCACGCGAAAGCCGTAAATCGCAGTCATTCAGTTCGACTATAAACTTTCAATGTGGTTCCAAAAAAGAACCAATTACGACAACAGCAGGCTCTCCAGCATGTAATGGGATTCATAACTCATTGCCACATACCACAGCACTACCATCCTGTGGTTAGTTTTTGAGACCAACAATTTTTTGAGCCACAAAATTACGAGTGGTCATGAGTGTCGCTGCGTGTGGACACTGAATAACGATCGAGTAAGAATGGGAACAAATAACGGCAAAAAACGTCCATACACTCTCAAAGCATTATAACAAAGGAATTGTCTTGCAGTGAGTACAAAAACAAGTGAAGAAAATCTGACACAGCTCGCGCTAGACATTCTAGACATAAATACTGACTCGAGAAAATTGTTCCTCTAATGCGGCTTAGTGCCTACTGTTTGACTGCTGGTTCTCTTGTCACGAAGTTTTTCGAGAAGTTAGATACCACTTTGAGGAACTAGATTCAACTTAGATTTGCAGTATACAGCATATCACCCACTGTAGGATTACCGCAGAAAACCTTAAAGGGGTTTTAAGTTATGGGGTCATTTATTGGCTGAGAAAGGAAACAAAACGATCTGAAAACTCTCATACTAGGTCAATCGGAGTTGCTGATTCTAAATATGAAGTTTGCATCGTTATAATGCTTCGTTAAAAAGTTATGCCAGGGTAAGCAATAGCAGCCTTTTTTCGATGTTGCTAAACAACATCGAAAAAATGCCGGAAGTTCCTACCGTAATTTTACAGTAATGAATAGAGATCGGTAATTTGCTCCATACTGTAAATCTAAGTTGAGGCCAGATCCACAATGGTACTTACTTTTCGAAAGACTACATTACGCGAGAGTAATTTACATATATGAGGTAGTCACATTCTTTTTGGGACACCCTGTATTTGTATATGCACTTAGTTGGCGGAATCTCGCAAGAACGGCTGCATATGCGCTAAGAGGAAAATAGGATGAAATTACAAACACACATACATATATAGTTAATAGAGGAAACTTATAGTTCATAGAGAAAACTCCTATAATGATGCATTTTCCAAAAAAAAGAAAGGAACGAAGCTTACATCTCTTTGTAGGAATGCTCCAAAATTCAAAAAATTTTCAAAGTCTTTGGTGTTACTTATTGAAAACGCGCAAGTAACTTGCTTTTGGATAAATAATCAAAACAAGATTTCCAATTTTTTCAAATATCTCCCTGACTTCAAAAAGATTGCTGGATACTTTAGCGCTCATCTGAATCAATCCAAATGGGTCTCAAAAAAAAAAACTCAAAACCATTAGTGATTCGCTTTTAGTCACGTAATCGTTTGTGCCGTTAGAAAAACAATGAAATCACCTGTGCAAAAAGTGAAGGGCCTTGACACACTCTTTTAGGACAGCTGCAATCTGTCCTTCGTCTAATTCTGTCTTTACCACAACATCGGTAAGATTTCCTCCTTCTAAATAATCCATCACTACCCATAAGTCATCGGCATCGACAAGGTACGATTCGATGTAATTTACAACGTTCTGAAAGCAATATGTTTAGAAAGTTGAGAAGGCTACTCAAAAAATAGATAAACAGCCACTGACCGGATGGCGGAATTGTTTCATTACTTTTATCTCAGTAAGTAACATTTCTTTCTTCGGTTGAGTTTTGAATGCCATTCGTTTGACAGCCACCACATCATTAGTATCCTTGCAATTAGCAACGTACACTGTTCCGGAGGCACTGAAGTAAGAACATTTTGAAATAAAGGCAAGAAAATTATGTGAACGTGTAATAATGATAATGATAATAACAATAGCAATTCAAGTTATACAACTGATCCAGCAACTTGATATTATAGAGTGTCCGACCAGAGTAACCGATATGCAATGCAACCATGACCGGTGCAGGTGTGAAAAACCACACTGTTCAAAAAAGTTCATAATATCGAATAAGTTTCCTGAGACTTTTTCTTAATACTGCACTTGTTCTTGTTCAATTCATGGTTTCTCATGGCTGCTCATTGGGGACAACTGTCGTAAATTAATCGAGTTAGTTGGCTTAAAAACTTTTTCTCCTTAATAATTGCTCTATATCGAAGAAGATGCGCAGATATTTCGAGTCCTTTAGGGTGCCCCATAACCATCACTAAAACGTCGAAACACTGATCTATTCTTTAAGGTAGACTTGGAATGGGTTAAATTTTCCTAAGATTTACTTCAATATGTCCCCCTCCCCTGCCCTTTCAAGGGTAAGCTCGACTCCACTAAAACAAATGCACAACAAAAACTCAAGTTGAGAGGACGACCTCCATGACTACTCATCAACTCAACAATCGACCTTCTTTCGCATCAGCTAGTGCCTGGAGTAAACAGGTCAAAATGCGTGGCTTTTTAATGCGCACTACATTTAGTAGTTTTTACCACTGGCAGAAAAAGTAATCAGAATTCCCAGAAGCCGACTATCCCATTTCTTCAAAAAACAAGGCACGCAAAGCGCTTTCTGGAGCAACAGCGGTAATCCGATATTTCTGCAGAATCCTAGTAATGTCGCATATGCAAAATCTGCACTTCCCACTGTCTAAAATTACCAATCAATGATGTGATAAAGTTCAAACAATATCGGATGAACGCAAACTAGTTATGGGTCCAAATTTAGCGCCGCCAGCTGACAAGAACGACCAAACATTTGAGTCCAACAAAACACTCCATCCCGTTACAATAACAATTACAAATTGCCTCTCCTACCCAGCTTTGAAACTGCAAGCTGCAATTCGCCACAGATTCTCGATCTGTTTGTCTTCGTAACAGGGCTATCCCGTACTCGAAAAAGTTTCACCGCCTGGTTTCAGATTTAACACGTTTCGGACCGCGAAATCGCGCGCGGCAAAAAAGAGGGTATTTTCAGCCGTTAGCCAGCAAAGGGACCTTAATTCGTAGAATGTGTGCTACGACTATTATCAGCATGTCAGATAAGATCCATACCCAGAGTTCTGAGTGAATTCGAAGTGTTTGAATTTTGTCGTCTGAAAAGTAGTTCTGTGCTTTCTTAAAAGATAGGAACAAGAACTCAGTTTCTAATTGTATCCAAAAGTATCTATGTTGTACACGATACACATCATTACTGAAACTACGGTTTTTCTCTTTGTATTCAAAGCTAAGGAAAGTTGCGACGTCGCACGCGTCGTTCGCGTTGCCGCACTTCGTTGCAACTGATGTTCGATTTGTCCTTATATCTCCTGAACAAATATCGATGGCACAGCTCTACAGACCCTTTCGAGAAGTAGGAGCTTAGGGGTTTGACTTGATGACCTTGGACAAAAAGAAAACCTCCTGTAAACGCTGAAAAGATCCTTCAAAGGTGCGTGCTGCACCATGTGCAGCACCGGTCCGAAACGTGTTAACTGATTGCTGCTAAAGTACGCTCCAACAAACACCTATGCAAAGGTCTTTTGATGATTCTACTTTTTCCTAATGCAATCATGAGATGCCTAAAGCAGATAAACTACAACCAAATGGGGTAGATATCGAAACACGTCCGCAACCAGCTTGACCGATTAGCCGAACAATCACAAAGCATCATGGGAAACGATATTAGACAAGTGCGGAGAAACATGCCATTCCTGCGCATGTAAGGAAAAGCTCAATTAAATCAACACGTGAAGATTGGGTTAACGAAACGAATAGTGAAACTGACATAATGAAAGTTGATTTCCTTTAAATGACAAGAGTTCATCAAGTCGAAAGAAACTGAGTTTTCATGCAAAGACATAAGCTAGTGATGAAAAGCCAGCTATTTGCAAAAGATAGTCATGAAGCAAGTAGAACCAGATCGGGCAAGCATTTGCGCCCACAAAAAAAATCTCCTAACATTAGATCAAGTGCGACATCACCTGATGATGAGTTGATGAGCTATCATTGTGAATTAGACACTCCATCAACGAAAGGGGATATTTGCGTATATAAAGGGCAAGGAGAAAATGCAGAAATGCAGAAAAGGAGAGAAAAGGCGAAAATCACAAACCCAATGCCAATCTGTCTCTTTATCTCATATTTTGAGAGGGGATCTCCTTGATTGACGATTTGTCGCAACTCTTCCAGAACCTAGAAAGAAAATGTTTTTGAATCATAACAAACTGGATGATTAGGCTAATTGACAAACATTGTTCACGAAGAGATGTCGCGCGCAAAAAAATTTGCTCTAATTTGTAGACTTTTTTGAGATAGTAAAAAAGTGCTGACTCCAACTTATGGCATAAATTAGTTTAGTTCGGTCAATGAACAGACCTAATTTGCGTAGATGCCCAGTACCCCTTTTTTGCATACATTGGTCTCAAATAGAGTGACTTTACTCTAGCGCTGCTGAACTTTATCTCAAAAAGTAGACAACATAAGAACTTTGTCGGTTAACAAAGACCAGTTGAAGATGCTAATGACAGTCAATCACTCAAGATGATATCTAACAAACTTCAATCTAGTGCAAAGTTTGTTTTTGGAAAGAATTGCACAAAGTCTACCTGGCCATCAGTCATCTTTTCCTTCGGCTGCGAACGTACTCTGACCGTTTCAGGTTCAGCTGGAGCAGCTTTAGGCTTGTCTGCGGAAATGACTGTAGTTGCATTTTCTTTCTAAACAGATTTTATTTACAGAGCCGCGTTATAAACCCATGAATGTCCTTGAAACTGAGAAATTTCTGCGGCCATCCAGCACTTTATCGTACAAATGAATGTGTATGCGCATCGTCGTGCTAAGTGCACATTTTTGGAACCAGCCAACTGCACAGGCTGCCGCGTCCTTTACGCGCGCGTAAAGTGCAAGAAAAACCATCCACGAAAGAAATGAAAGACTATTTTCTCACATCAGAATATGACCGGTTTTCTACTTCTGACGAAATGTTGCTTGCTACACTGCCATTTGATAAAGAGTGCCCAATCGAGTTCGTGTCCGAGGACGTTAACGAGACGAACGGTGGTGGTGAAGTGCATGCGGATGACGCTTTCAGATGCTAAATTGCGACAGTTAAGAGATTCTAGCTGTAAATGTTTAACAAAAACTGCAACATACACCAGTTCAATATTTGCAAAAATTGTGTAGTGGGCTAAAGGTAACAGTTTTCGTGCTTGCAAGGAGAAAGCTTACTACTTGCATTTATAATCAAGGAGAGAGGCAAAACACGATCCTCATACGCTTTCGCTTTTTGTTTATCCGCGCAAAACTAGTTTTATGAGATACTCGATAAGAACCTATATATAGCAGTGGTGCATTCGAGAGATCAAGATTGAAAGAAAGAAGTTATGACTAAGAGAGTGTAAACCGAACTTAGCTGTTACTCATATCAATTACTAATTTTTTCGGAGAGATGTTACTATATTTTCGTGTAACAGAATCCAGTGGCCGTTTTCTTCTTGAAAAAACTAATCCACCAAACACTATGAAGTCAAGGGCCAAAAAGATAAACAGTACGACAAGAAAATTAAAAAATGCAGCCACAGAATTGCTTCTACTACAGAGCTTTTTTGAACAAAACCTCCACTTATTATTTTACCGCTAAAATCGGTCTCCGCTTCATAATTTTCAATGAAACAACAAACGCAAATATCGAAGAGAAAGCATATCTCCTTACCAAAAGCTCGTTGCCGATATGACTGATATAGGCACCCCACGGCGAGAGTACACTAAATCGTTTCGGTTGCCAATCCCAGTCGTACATGAATACGCAGTAGTTCGTAAATGGTGAGTGAGTATATTCAAATCCTTGAGAGCTGGCAGCTGTCTGAGACAGGTGGAGGAGGCCTGCGTCGCCCAACTAGCTATATGGGAAGCTATCTGGCAAAGAAGATTTTCAAAAACTTCGGTATCAAGCGAATAGGACCGGAAGCGCGTTTAAGCGAAGAGAGTGAGGAAAAAAGAGTTTAATAATGTTCTCTTGAGCTGGCTTATAAATAATTTAGGTTGGCAGCTCGTAAGAATGTTGCAGACCACATTCTCGTTCAAATGGTTTCGCTGGAAAAAAATATTCTAATCGAATTCACAAAGTAGACTTTATGAATATGTTTTACTAACAAAGAAAAGGCGGAAAAAGGTGAATACCCCAATTATCTTTTGGAGTCACAAATTTAGAGAGTAGAAAAGACTTGTACGTATTCAATTACCATTACTTATCCGTATAACATCTACCATAGCATGAAAACGAAATCTCAAAAGTTCAAGCATTTGGATTTTGGAAAACTAGCCTTTTTGGGACAAGAGTGTTCCCTACGGTCAACAGAAAGTTTTGAGTAAATGATATATGACAATGGAAGCTTAATACTACCTGTCTGCAAATAATTGTAGCTAAGAAACAACAAGTTGAATTTTTGTAGGAAATTACATCTCGAAAAGGGAATGAGTTTCTAGCCAACCTGATAACAACGAAAAGCTGAACCCTACCCAGAATCAATATCTATCAATCATATGCGAATCTTATAACAGGGCATCATCGCCACAAGCGTCGTCAGAAATTAAGGTGTGAACGATTAAGAGACGGATACGACAGAGAGAATAGAGGGAAGAACTCTACTACACGAGCGAAGAGGCGGAGCCAAGCGTCGCACCTGACCGGTCTAGCTACCGCTACCGAGCGACCACGACAGCCGACGACGACGATGACGACGACCCCACTTGACGCATCGATATCTACCAGAAAATATATCGTCGCAAAGGGTAGAGTGACATTCGCGAACATTGCGATGCGTGTGCGCAGCAGATACAGAGACATAGATTAGCCGCCAGCAGGTTATGATTCAATTAAACATCCTATTACATCTAGGGGCGACGTGGTATGTTGATAGCTTGTGTCGCGCTCGCCTTTGCTACACCGAAAAATACACTTCAAGAGAAGACGAGAAATGAAATGCGATATCAAAATCAAGATGGGGAGATCATGATCGAACGGATGCACCACTGCATGCATCAAATTACCCCATTAATAACGTTAGAATCTTCCATAGAGTAAGAAAGAATCTTACCGCCGGTTTTGGTGGAACCTTGGGAGGAATCTTATGGACAGGAGTAGGTTGCTGCGGTCCATTAGTGTCGTTGGCGGATGCCTAAAATTGACTATCATATAATGACGTCCATTACTTTAAAAAAAGGCAGTGGAGATAATCCAAGGCTACGAAGAGCGGCAAAAAATGGAATTCTCAAGAATTAAGCTTGCCGAGCTATCCTCAAGCAGGGAACAACAAGAAGTACTAGAAATATCCTTGTGTGTGGCTAGTTTATGATTTTTGAGAAACCAGTGGGAAAAGATCACACTACGAAACCTTGGAAAGCTCCTAAGCGCCTTGAACATGACGGTCAAGGATATCACATGAGATTACAATGTAAGGGGTTAGTCGGGCAAATTTGATAATTACTGATGTTATTTCTGCAACACAGTTTTCGTTTTTATAAAAGTTTGTATGATTGGTGTAGATGACACCGCAAAAATGCAGAAAAGAGGTGACTGATCTTAATCAGTCATTTTCATAACGCGAGCAGATGACACATACAGAGTCACCGTCAGAATTTGACTGTATGATGATAAATATCCCCAACTTCTGTCGCTTCAGCGCGTTGTTTTATGAAAGTAATCTACATAAAACCATTTGTGAGTCATGTTTTATTCACAGTCTTCCTCTTTTGGTCAATGCGCTCATGCATGAAGTAAAATTCGCATAATCTTATAGTCTTTGAAGTTTGTAGATCACTTCCCCAAAGGTTACTACTCACTTCAAGTCATCCGAAGTCTTCAAAACTGAACGAGACAAAAGCTAGTAGGTTCACTCTATATTACATAGAATGAACTGATTAATCACAGCGATGCAATCATGCCCAATCCCGCTAATCTTCGAATACTGGCAACCAACATTTGTAAAACTGATAAAATCCTTTTGCTCAAACAGAAGAGAACTCACTTTGCAAACAAACTGATAATCAAGCTGCACATCAAGAACGTAACTGATTTGTAGGAGTCTAAACCGCACCTAAGTTGGCGAAAATGAAGTTTTCCTTCGCACTAGTTAAGAATGACCCAGCACTGAAGATGCCGCCTTGGAGGTTAAAAAGGATTATTTCAAGTTCGTAAAGACAGCTTTGCCTCTTCTTTTCTGCGCTCCAACAATAATATTATGCAAATGATTGCACCACGTACTTTGATGTTCAGCAAAAATCTAAAAAATTCTTCGTAAAAGAAAAAATGTTTGCAGGTTAGATGCCATCGCGCTTTCTGCCCTTCATCTCACTTTTCTTTTCTTGATTACCGACACTAAGATTGATACGATAATGCATCGCATGCCTTCGTAAACCCAGTAAGAAAGTAGGATTTCTTGTAAGTAGTCTATCATGATACCTTAGTGGTTTTTTACCGTGAAATAGAGCGCACCAAGTTCATGTTTTTTTGGCTTTTTTGGCTTCGGAAAGAAACATGTTAATAGTTATGGATTGTCTTGGAAGAGTAATTCTATTGTTCAGCCTCAAAAAACCGCTTCACGAGCAAATTTGTGCCAATGATTGGCAGTGCATGCGCACTATTCACTGTCAACTGCGCTAGACTACGTTTACATAAGGTTTTCTAACTCTGCAAAAGAGAAAAGCACTTTGCGTACAAACATACTGAGATACTGATAATAGTAAGAGTAGATTCATAACTCGATTATGTGAAACACTTCCGAAAATCTGGTTATGTTCTTAAATGGTTGAAGAACATTCTCAAACATGTAAATCCAAAAAACGCAGACAAACTGACCGAACTTATAATAATCTTTGAAATTGAAGTGGGCACTTGAAATGCTTGAGTTTCACCTTTTAGCATGTTATGGACCAACAGTACTAGACACCGAGCACAGATAACTGCGACGTTACCACATCAGCAGTGAGTTGAAAGAAGTACCATCGTCCTCTACTGATTACCATATTTTTTTCAGCGGCTGTCAACCTATATCACAAAAGAAAACTCGCATTCTCTATTCTGATAGATTCAGTCTGAGAGAGCAGCCATACGCTTCGCAAAAGTAAATTATAAATCGAGAAATCGCTAAAAACAAACTAGAAAATTATGACCCTCAAACAATGTGCACAAGAGGGTCGGACAAGATGCTGGCGCCACTACGAAGTATTGTTTGCGAGATAACCTGTAGCGAAGACTCCAAATGAAATTTATATCCAGCATTTGGAAGTATCACATCACATGTACCCAAGGTCTTCCAAAACATCTTCCCAAAGCAAATCCGGCCCTTGCTGCACAGCTCTTTTTGCTTTTGTGCCCCTCAAATGTTGCAATTTGGTTCAAAGAGATGTCGCTGACAAAAAAACTCAAATGGCCTAATTTAGGTACCGGCCTCTCTATCAACCATTTGACCATGAATGTCATCCCAACCAATATGTTAGAAGTCGGATGTACTCGAAAGAACCTCGAAGCTGTCTAAGATAAAGCATTTTCAAAAGTCCTAAACCTTTTCAGAACAGTGCGGAAACAACGCCAGCCTTTCAGTCACTAGTACAGTTTTCGCATATTTTTTGCTGCCTACTCGACGATGTAGCCAACAAAAAAACTTCGCGCCAGAACTCTTTACGAATGTGGATAGTGGCTGCGGCACCATAAACGCAGCAGTGGCGAACGTAGCGTAATTTAACAAAGCAATTTATCCGTTTCCGATGAGGAATCATAATTTTGTAAACTTTACAAAGATCAAATCGAACAAAAGTAGAAGGATTTCTAAAAGGCTGATGCCATGATTTGAGTTGATACATGATACTCATTCTTTTTTTTTTTACAAAGACGCCTTGTCAAAAGTTTGAATAATCATAAAAATTCGTCAACAATTTTTCAGCAAACCACGATGCTTTTACATTAAAATACGTAAGCCAAACGCCACATCAAATCATTCAATATTTGCTTCCATACTATCAAAAGGTCAATACCACACGTAATTTTTGAGAAAAGTCCTTAAAGGCAGTGTCCGGGCAAAAACTCGATTTTGAGATTTTGTGCTTATACGGGCCTATTCGCCATGCTGAATCCGAAAATCCACACTGGAAAGTGCGAAAACGGCGAAAAAGGGCTTTAACACAGGGGGAAAATCAGCAGGTGGGCGGGGCTTTCCCCAGTGCGATTTCACGCTCCCAGCTCCCGGAGCGATTTTCTCGATTCCGCTGGCCGTCCTAACATCGCTACCGGTCAAGTGCGAATGACTGACTTAAGACCGGAAGCGAGAAGATCGCTCCGGAAGCCGGGAACGTGAATTCGCAATGGGGAGAACCCCGCCCACCTGCTCATTTCCCTTCAGTTTTAGAGCCGTTTTTCGCCGTTTTCGCGCTCTACAATGTGCATTTTCGGATTCAGCGTAGCGAATAGGCCCATGTAAGCACAAAATCTCAAAATCGAGTTTTTGCCCGGACACTGCCTTTAAAAGTAGCAAGCCATCATGAGAAGTCTAAATTCGCCCAAACATCATTAAAATCTCGAAACACGAAGTAACGAATGAACAAAATTTACAAACGTTTACCTAACTATTTCTGTACCGATACTTTCTGTACTTTCAAAAGTATTGCATATATGGACAGATCACCCATCAACATAAAACACATTTTTCTTCGTATTACAGCTTTAAGGCAGTGTCCGGACATATTCGGGATCGGGCTGTGGCTTAAACAGATAACCCGCCTCAGTAATCCGCTAGAGTTGAGGCGCTCCCAAAGCCCGGAACTGCCTTTGAGTTCTAACCATTACTGAATCAAAAGACCTCAAAGGTTCAATAGATTTCATAGAAACTTTCTTTGTTCAACTTATGCTTCAAGAGCTAGCGGTTGGGTTAACTGTGAATAACATGGGCTACCAGTCACACTTTCACTTCCACAGCAATGAAAAAAATGAACTTGCCAATTGGTGGCCGAAACTGCAGCTTGTCAACTCCTTACGAGTCAAAGCAAATTGATGACAACATTAATCAAAGAAGTCTCACACGCGCTAAATAGAGCAAGAACATGGCTAACAGAAACCCTATCGTCAAAAGTAAGAAGGGACGTACGCATGCTTCGACAATAGGTCAGAACATGGTAAAAAATGCGCCTTTTCTTTGTAACTCAAGCCTAATTGACATCAAAAGGAAATACAAATGGTTTCAGCCCTAATAAAGGCCCGCATTCACTCGAGTTTATTTTTCTATCAAAAGTCTCTGTAAAAATTGAGGTTTATCATCTTTGACAAACACCCGTGCTGAGATTACAACACTACTAATTCGTTAAAATGGTCTGCCTAGCGTTAAGTTGGTCAGCCAAGCCCTGGTAGGGTGTGTCTTCTACACCGGCGTTTGGACAAAGGAACAGGATCTGCAGGGGTTTACTCATTTCTGAAAGAAAGAGAACTTTCCAGCAAAGAACAACGCGATCTGACCCGGCACTTGCGTTCTTTAACTATTTTTGTGTTTTGATGTACCTATGTGTGTTTTTAATAGATAATCGTTTTCTCGAATTTTTCGAAAGTAAATTCTAACAGTCATAGCGATTCGAGATATTTGCAAGGCTATTATTTCTTTTGCACTAATAGATCATCAAATCGAGACAATCTGCAGAAAAGTTAGAACTTCTAGATATTTTCATGAGACATAAAAATGAGAAAATGGTCTTTCTGTGCCGGATCATTAGCGCAGCTGTAACTGATCAAGAGTTTGAGAGGCGAGCAAGCAAAAAATAGGCACATCAAATTCTAAATAGAGAGCATTTTTCTGCATATCTGCAAAATACATAAGTTAACATAACAATCCTATTGCTAAGGAGTATGTGAAATCTTTTTTAATTTTTTTGCAGTGCATGATCCGGTTTACGAAGGTGGCAAGAAACTTCAAAACGTAGGAATGACTCGCAGTACAGTTGAGCATATACATTTTATTATATTTTGAACCAGTGTGTAAATGAGATTCCTAGACTTCTACCTAAGCGTCAATCAAAGAATATGAGTGAAGCTTCTAACTTCCGAATGATCAGAAAATCAACAAAATGTTTAGATCTTTTTGAATCGAGCAAAAATTCAAAACTTTGAGCAATTAGTTCATTTATTCGAACCTGTGCTTTTGACAAGAAACAGCTGCGGTAGCATATTCTTTAAGCTCTGCGTTAATAAAGCAATGCTTATTTCTTGCGTCAGGTAAGCCTTCCAACTCTTTCCTATCGTTTCTTTACGATAGGAAAGAGTTGGAAGGCATCTTCGTAACAAAATAAGTCGAAGTTGGGATCCTTGAAAAATGAAAGAAACACTCAAAACCCTGGAAAACTATTCTCCAGAAACACCCCATTAGATCCTCAACATGTCGAACAGCTTCTATGAATTTTGATATACATAAAAACAGTTCTCTAACCATCCATACTTTGTAGTTTAACTTAAAGTCAGACCAAAGATGAGCAAGGTCTGGCTGGATAATTTTGAACAAAACACCTCGCTGATATATTCTTTATAAACAAATATTGAAGGAAGTGCGAGTTGCATTACACATGAAAATCACCACTGTCAATTGCCTAATGGGATTAATCGCTACCTGTGAGATTAGATTAAGCGAACAAAATGCATACCTTTAATCGCTGTGGGGGTGGAGGTGGCGGAGGAGGTGGAACATCTTTACGCACAGTTGAACGAGGATGAATCGGTGGAGGAGGTGGATTAGGTGGACTGGATTCAGGCTCGGGTGGTGCACTTTCTTTCCGTTTCGCTTGTACAGCAATACCTGCAAAAGCAGCAGAGTCAGGCATTGCAATTTGAGATGCACGGAAAGTGCACTCTTGAGAACTGATAGCGCGGCTTAGCTGAGAGGATAAAGTAAACATCAAAAATGGATTCGCAATCGTGGGGATAAACCGGAAGGAAATCACCCAAACAATGAAGTCAAGAGAGACCATGAACTCTAAATTTGGCTCACAAAAAAAAGAGTCCCCCACTACTAGAAAATTGTCATTACTTGTTACATGTAAGAGTAGAAAATGTTAGCTTATATAGGACCGAGCTTGAGCGTCAAACAACAAGACTTCAAACTCTACAATTTGCCCTAGACTGTCAGTCTCTTTCATCTGACAACAAAGTGACAGTTTTATGATAAAGAGCAAGCCATAAATAATGAACACGCAAGAGATTAGTGAGAAAAAAGCACTTTCATTAAAACAGTTGTACCTGAATTTGTAGAATGATTGAAAGACGGAGCTGGTGAAGGAACAACACGGTCGGATATGGAATCTTCAGTGGATGACAAGCTCAGTCCAGCCGCCTTTGACCCGGAAGCACTTGATAGGCCTTAAATATGATGATAAATATACGCATAACTTGTGCACTCTATTTACCATTGCTTGATGATGTGGGTGCTATTGTGTGATGGCCAGTCACCTGACCATTTAGCTGAATTTCAACGTCATCAGAATCTTCATCGCTTGCATTGTAGACACTGTTGGTTGTCATGAATTTAGCTTTCTCCTTTTCTTTCATAGATGCAGCGTAGAACCGCAAAGCGGTAACCACTGCATTCGGATTTTTCTTTTGATCTGCTTCGCTGTAAAAAGATGCGTTTTACAGAGAATTAAACAAAAAATTGGATGCAAGTCACCTTATATCTCTAAGTAAGGAGTCCATCCATGTATCCGGAAGCCCACTGAATTTCTGTCCATCATAGCCTACATGTATCCTAGAAAAGGGTCCGATAAAGAAACATCAGAAAGGCGAAGAGTTGCTGCGCCACAAAGTACATACGTCATAAAGTACAACAGATTAAAGAATTAACCAGGTGGATAAACAAGTACTCATCATTTTATCCCAAAATCAAGCAACTAATACTTTTCCTGTCTATGAGGAATCACGGAAACCGGTTGAGGAACATCTAAGAAGGTTTCACTATGTAAGACACTTGGTCTCATATTGGTTAACATCACCTCAAATGCGCTTATGCAGACAAGTAGGGTTGGTAAGGTTGTTTAGAAAGCAAAAAAAACTACTGGTGAAAAAACAACAAATTTCTTTTCTCTTCTCAAATCTATGTCATTGTTTTTTCCACAACAAAGGGAAATCCGATGACTTACGACAAGTTTATTATTATTAGACATACCAGAAAGCAGTGAAAAAAGAAAAAAACGCTCCAACTCTCTTCACAAAATACCGCACTTATTTACACAACTTACTTGAGTGCAATCACTAAGATAACTTTTGAATGGTACTATATCTTCACTAAGATTCATTCACAAAAGTAAAGAAAATATTATATCAGCGATAAAATGCAACAAAGAAGTCTCACCTATGGACTGTGTTGTACGGCTGGCTTATATCGAGACTAGATGATGGTTTCGAATCATCACTTGAATCACCGCGATCCTTTTCACTGCTGGTCCCTGGCGAAAATATGCGACCAAAGAAGTTCCGCACCTTCACCTGCAAACAAATAATATAGCTGGAATATAAACACTTTTCAAACATAGCTTCATCGCTACATTCCCGTTAATACTGTTCTTCAAGCAATCAAAGCGGAGTGCTATTAAACGATATTTAAAGCAAGCCGCAGCTGAGCAAAACAGAATATGATTTTATTATTTTTTTCTTACACGAGTAGCAGATGCGCTTGCGAAGCCAATCTTCGAAATTTCTGATGAGAAACAGTCAGAAAACATCTTGTTCACCTCATATTTTCAGTCGGTCTAGAGAACACTGCGAAAATATATTGGGGAACATAAGTCCTGCACCAAAAAACCAAAAAAATTCCTTCAAAAAAGCTCAGAGCAGCATTTCGCTCATTAAAGTATTTTTATTGTATATGAAATATATGCAGTGTGTATCGTATAATTAGAGCCTCTTTCTAAACATTATCAAACTCAATTAAAAATCCGAAAACTACAACTTTCTGAAAGGACGTCCTGTCAGCACAATTTTTGTTGCTGCTAGACTATGAAACCAAAACGTTAAGATAGAAACCTCTGGATCTCCAGCGTTTCTGGGGGTTAGAAAAAGGATTCTGTCGCCGCGACATGAAAATGGGACTCTCCTTTGAAAATTAGAAAGAGTAACGTTTTCTTTTTCTAAACTATCCTGAAGGATTCATTGCCCGGAAGAGAATACGGGATTTTAGAAAATTTTGGTGCAAGACTTATGTTCCAAGCTAATAAAATCACAAACGCCGCTCTTGTGGTAATTTAAGGTATTAAAGTTAAAACACTAGGATTTAAAGGACCAACCTTCTTCTCCTTTGGGGTGGACATGCCAAAAAGAAGACAAATGTGGTATCAGAGCAGCACCTCGTATAAACAGCGCACGTATCTGAAAGGATGGGGACGTTTATCGATTACTAAGCAGCAAAAAGATTGATGTCGATGAAACGCGGGCGCAAGCAAAAAATACAAGAGTGAATGATGAAGTCTTGAATAAATGAAAAGGTTGGGAGTGGGTTGCACATGCATATGTGACGAGAAGGTGGATAGAACGTCCGTTTAGCCCTCAACACACCGTCGTTGAAGGCGGCGTAAGATCTCAAGAAAAGGTAATGAGTGAGTCAGCGATCGATGGCTCAAGACACGCGAACGAACTACAGCATTTCATGACTCACTCAAATGCACCCACACCGTAAACCAACAAAACGTAATACGCACGAACTCGACTCATTACAACAAACACACCCCGATGAGGCAGCATTAGGTTGATCTAGCGATTAGACCGCGTTTATGAGTATGAAAACTACTGGATCCATAACACTCTGTAGCCCCAAAAAGTGCAGTAGTGAGTCTGGTCTGCCATGTTTATTGCATGGCGTAGTTTTTCAAAAGTGGATTCAAGCGAATGTTTATAAATAGAAAAGTTTGGAACGAATCAACGTCTTTTTTCCGCCCTATTTCAACTTTTCTTCCTCCATTGCAAAGAAAATCAAGAATAAACCAAGTGGTACGAAATAACTAAGACTCTTACATTTCTAGATAAACATAAAAGAAACGATGGCATGCACTGCTGTAAGGCGCATGTGATACCAACAAATGATGGAGATTGGCAGAAGTTTTACAGGAGATTCTGAGAGTAAAATGAAGTATCTGAAAATAATAAGATTCAAAATGCCTGATTAACAAGATAAGGAAAAGGAATTATGGAATAGTCACAATACTTCATTATACCTAATGGAAAGAGAAAACTATTCATTACCCTTCGTTTCGTACCCTTGGTTTCGGAGTTTTTGATTTCTAGGATACTCCGAGATTCCTCGATACGAAGACAGGGCCTAGATTGCCTTAAAAAAACTGTGAATCTGATATCGATGTATTTCAAGCACCTTCGTAGTATGAAATTGACTTCGCTGCAAAAGTGTAGTGTAAAAGAATTGCACTATTCAAACCAATTAATCAAAAAAGCCAAAAAAGCACGGCAATCCATTCCGAAAAGCTTGTTTCAGTATTAGCACAGAATGGGATTTTTCAAACAATACTGCTCGTCGCAGAGGATAGCGATTCACATTGTGTTCACTGAATGGACATCTGTCGCTCAAAAAAGTTGTACTAAACATCATTTGTAATAGCGTAGCACTGCGCCGATAACGTACTGATGAAAGCTTTGAAAGTGCTTTAGATAAAAAAATAAAAATAGAAATTGTTTTATATTAAGAGTGAGAAAATGGCCCAGAAATCATGGACAAGTTAGAATTATTACACGATTGTATGACAAAACTTGTCAACATAATAATCATTCATACATAACTAATTTTCTTGCAGAGCCAGTTTTGTGAACTAGAAAAATTAGTTTGTCGTGAGCGACGCCGTATGATAAGCGTTCATAAAACAACCATTCGAAAAATGCTCTTCAGTAGCGATTGTCGATAAAACTCGAACAGATTAAAGATTATTGTTGAGATAAGTCCGCCAGAAATCAGCCCCCGAAAATATATCTTGAGAGAAGATACCATTCACAGACAGAAAGGGTTCCATGGTTTATTTACATTGCGATCTTTTTTATCCCGGACGCCCGAAAAGGCGAATCCTTCTAGATATCTTCAAACAAAGACCGGCCGCTTTGACTTGCACACTTCTTTCCGAGTGAGAGATATCAAGATGCTAGCATAAAAATAGCTTGTCGGTGACATGGCGATGCTCATGTGGCACACATGATCTGACTCGCCGAAGTGTAATATTGATAGCAAAAGATGGAACAAAAAGATTTTGAGTTGAGTATAGAAAATGACTTCACAAAGCAATCCAAAAGGAATGTCTTTGCAGATACTGCAGATGGGTCAGATTGGTTGAGAAAAGACATCAATAACCCTAGGCGAGAAAACGTTATAAAAAGAGCATATCGAGCAGAAGCAGTTAAGCAACTGACTCACTTTTTGTCGTCTCCAAAAACGGCTTGTTTATGAGATCGTCAGCGATAGTATCCGTAGATAATTGCATCACCTGTATCCGCCAGAGACAGGAAAGTACTTTTGAACCGACAAAAAGAAAAGTACTTTAGAACCAAATGAAACGAGTTGAGACTGCGAGCCATATATAGTGGTAGATAGAGGCTAATCTACTTGATGGAAACTAGCCTGATGAATTTGCTCACTACACAACAACACATACACCCCCCCCCCCCCCATCCTTCAGGTTCAAAATAGGAAGTCAAACCACTTCTGATATAAAGTAGGCAACGGAAATTTCTCAGCAATTCAAAACCTTTATGTTATATGAGCGATCAATGGGTTCTCCAACAAAGTCTGAAATTACGTTTACAATTCAACAACACTGATTGAGTTCGGATCTGATAGAATATGATTTCCATACTTCAAGTTACAAAGAATGGGATTTTTTGTAATCAGATCTAGCGATGCAAGCCGTCAGAAGCTTCATAATTCATATTTTCTGTATGACAGAGCATTTTCGGATGGGCAAGAGACGGAAAGGTCGTTTATAGGTAATGATGTGATATATTGAATGGTTGGTGGATAACAACGAGAGCAGATGTGATGGCAGAGCAGTACATACATACCGAAAAAATAAATGGCATAGAAAATCAATGAGAATGTGGTTAGACGAATTTTGCCAGGGATAAATTCATACCACATATAGTTTCATTGAGTGATTGATGATTAATTACTGTCGTAGTCCGACAAGTTCAAATTCAGAAATAAAACCGTACCACATGTGACCATATCTACATTTATGGTCACTTCTTGCTTTTGATATCGAAAAGGCCGTCTGCAAAGATGCAAAAGGTTTTCCTAAGTGCAAAGAACGTGATGCTACGACAAGTACACCTGCGGAGAGCGACATGCTTGTAAAACATGCAAGGAAGTGTGACTGCCTCAGCGACTCGAGCTCTCAGTTTTTCCTAACAAAAGACACTCACCAGTACTCCAATCACTTCTCCACAGCCTGATTTTCTCTGAACGCAAACGACGCCGTAATGCGGGGAGAAGAAGAGACGGGGAGTTAAGAAAGAAAATAGCTCATAACTTCGCTCGGAGGTACTTCGCAGACGATTCGAATTATCATAAAAATTATACAGCACCGTTTCGTTCTAGACCAGCATTACAAACATGTTCGCTCTCTTCATAAATGATCTGCATGATTTCTTCACAACTTGGAAACGTACAAAGGGTCCTCATAGATCATTCCAAAATAAGCTGTCTTGGATGGGCAGCAATGATTTAGTCAAATAATTTTTGAAGAAAAAAATCTCATACAAAAAGGAAGAAATGGCAAGCACAGATTTATTGCTGGTGTAGTACCACCACATATTATTATTATTTTGGCAGTATATAAAACGACTAGAAGTTATCAAAAGATTTTCATAGTTTGTTGTGCGAGTGACCGTGAAAGCAAGTTTGCGAGATTTAGCCATATAAACAGAATGAACTGAGGATGTTTACGTTTACAGCCCACATTTGGGAGTTGCTACTAAAAACAGAAGTTTATTTGATAACAAATTTAGGTTACTGCTGACTCACACCGCATCAAAAGGCAACTCTATGCGCGACAATCTCCGTGTCTCAAACTCAGTATCAAAGTTCGTATCGATTGTAAAGTTGGTTTATCTCGACTGCGATCGCATCGGAAATGAAAGGAGAATCAAGAGTCTACCCCCCGTTAATGACATACGATGGCGTTCAAAGACAGTTTGTCAGAAATTCGGAGACTGCTGGGCTGACGGCACATGGTGAGAATAGGCGCCAGCCTGCGAGAGACCACCACACCCGTCCGCCAGACCAGATAACAATCAGATAGATTATACTCGAGCCCCCTCACCAATGAAGCAATGAATTCGGCTCAAATCAGGGACAAGGGTAGCACGGGCATAGTACACACACGTATTAACGGAATGGGCCCCTGCAAAGCTCGCAAAGAATTGAGGGAATGAGAAAGGAAAAGGTCGCAGATGATGCTATTTCAGCACACGGACGGGTGAGTCAGCATCGGCGGCTGCGATCGGGCGAAACTGACACGAGCCATCGGACATTTCGCCCAGCCTACCTTCTGTGTTACAATAAAAAGAAAAACAGAAGAAGTGATCAGAGGGAAGCATTGAACAGGTTTGCAATAATAGGAAAACATGCAAAAAGACGGTGATCGCTACCACGGAAAAAAGTTGCGAGTTTCTTTTTATTAATCAGGAATTTCGCCTGCAAAGTACTTTAAACAATGTGTAGAATTTAGAAGCAACATGGAAGGAGAACGAACATGATGAATGAAACTGGAGGACATGATATCCTGTTCCAAACTGATGCTCGTTGAAGTTGAATGTAACTCAATGTCAGAGATTTTATGAGTGGATTCGAGTGGGCAAGAATGTGAAAGCCCTACAAGCATTCGGAATCATGTTCAGAGCAAAATTAGTAAGTTATTGCTTTAAAGTAAAGGGATGAAGAAAAATAACAGCTGAAGCCACTGCAAAACAGATGTAGTGTAAACGGACCAAGTAGACAATGAAGCATGCAAATTTAAAAGCGTTCCGAAGCTAAAAAGCTCAGAAAAAGAAAGTCGCATAAACAAACTTTCAAAGGAAGTAAAAAGCAACACAAAAAGTGAGGCATATGCATAAAAAATTCAGCTCTAAGAAATCTGTTAAACAAAAACATCAGTCTGCGAAGAGGAATACCACTTACGACTTGTTCTTCAGAAACTGTGAACGATGTGCGAACACTTGTAAAACTAACAAACACAGAATGTGGCCGAGCAAGGGCGGACCATGCATTGCTAAGGCGGTAAATCAATTGCCTTGTGTGTGCACTTGCAGACGCCGTCATTGATCAGCCGGTCTAGAAAAGCCGTTACCGAAGAAAGAACAAGATGGGATAGCCGTCCGGCTTCGAAACGACGCGCACATCTGGATGCACACCACACCGAACGCGGATCCCCTTTGAGGGGAGGCAAGCGATCGATACCGCCCGAACGAACGCTGCTGCGCTCTCCATTCGCCTATGCTAATGACCCGCCGTCGGTCCGCGCAGCCGTCTTTAGACAACCGAAATCTCAGTTTGGTCCTTGAAAAGACGAAGAAGAATGACTTGTTGTGAAATATAGGAGGAGGTTTTGACAAATAGCCCATCTTGAAGCTGTCCCTTATTTCGAAATCTAGTAATCTCAGCGTACATATAAGTCATTTACAAAATCGTGACGACGGATTCGACTGCGGTCCTTGCGCCCACCCAACGTTACAAGAGCTTATAACTTTCAAAAAGTTTGGCGCTTGGCTCAGTCACTTCAAGTGTCTAATAGTTAACATATACAGTCGGTTTCATCCCGGATTAGGCGAGACATTCTACGTGGAGCAGCGCATGCGCATCGCTGGAGGCTTTGCGAGCATGGCGCTGGCATTTTGCCAAGCAAAGGCTAAGGAGATTGAAGAGACGCACATATGGGTTCTCAGCACGACAGGATCTACTGTAGCTGCGAAACGGCGCGAGTTGTAGCGAGGCGGACTCCCGCCAATCCAATTCCCGCCTAAAGCGGGTCGAAACTTACTGTACCTACATGCGAAAAAATGCTGACGCAATTTTTAGCATTACGTACGCGACGCGCGCGGCCGCGCCATCTTCACGAATTTATGAGCGATCTACAGCCTGCCCCGATCTCAACCAGGCCAAAATTGGCTTGGCGGGAACCCATGTCGCGAGGATATTGCGTCACGTCTACAGCTAGACAGTCTGCTCTCTCCTCCAACTCTTCGCTCTCTGCGACACCGCGCGTATGCAGCGCAGACCCGTAGTGTTGCGAACGGCCTGCTCCCGATTGGGGCATACTGTATAGGGTGCCTAGGCAAGAACTGTCGAGGAAGAGCCAGACAGTCCAAATGAGTGCCCTTTATCAAACAATCTGGATGCCTACCATGGAATAGAGGCATGCCCCGCCGTACCCTCGCTTCGAATTTCTTTTACGGTTTGCGGAGTTCTAGTCGCATTAAACGACCTCATCCACATCACACTCGCTTGCTTCCAGCATCGATGTTCGAAGATCTGCTGACATATATGAAAGAGTTAGCTCATGCCAGGATCTGCCCGGTCACACTATGATAAAAATAACTATGCTCTGTAAAATTTCTGTCCCGTTCTCACCTCTATACGCCAGTACCCTGCCTTCACTATGTTCTCGTAATTACCATGCTCACTTACCCACCTTCCCAACCCCGCAGCTCAAACTTTGCAAAAAAATCGATAAAAGCGATGAAGGTAATAGATGGTTCGTAAAGTGGTAATGTGTTCGTAATCAGCACTCATTTAAGCCCCTGTGTCATCTCCCAGCCCCTAGCTCGAACTTTGCAAAAAATCGACGAAATTGATATCGATCGATAGCGAAAAATAGCTACGGCACCCGCCCTCCCAAGTATATGTGAGCAAAGTTTGGCCAGGACTCGGCACAGGTGGCTTACTGTGCAAGCTGGATTTTCGGACGTGAAAGGCAAAAAAGATATTGTTTTTGCGGGCTCGGGGCGGAGAAGTGCCGCAAGCACGCCACCGGCATGCTCCAGCGCAGCGACGTTCTAAGCAAATAGAAGCTGGTTTACAATCAAAACGGAATGATATATTTAACACCAAAATGTGTGCAAGTGCGCAATGAGAAGCTTGAACTATGCAAAAAATCATGAAAAACTTAAAGGCTATTGCAAGACGGGGGCGCAGAAGTTGAGCGGGTGCGAACGCGGAGCGCGCGTATCTTTAGCGTTACTGTTTCTGCGCCTAATGCGCTCTGTGGCTGATAAAGCCGCGTTTGCACCCAAAGATATTGCGTTTGTCGTGCATCAGCCTATATGTGAACTGAAGGCGTGACAAACTTTTTAGGAGGCTAGATTTCCGGCCACCTGAGGCGGTATGTATCAGTCTCCCGTTCGGGTCGGTGTTCCCGCACAAGTCGTAATTTGGTCAGATGCGGACGCCTAAGGCTCATAATGCGCGAACGTGGGGCCCGGTCGTGCAGCATGGGTTAGGTCTGCAATGCTTGGACGCC